AGTCAATGCGTCTCCAGGTTTGTATCCACTACATGCACTTTATTACCCTATGATCTGTGCAGTATCTTAGATACTCCCTCCATTCCGATTTATATGACACTATTTCCTTATACGTTGTTGAAAACAATCAAACTTCATACTTCCATTTTACTCTAAATGAGAAATTTTTATAGTCAAACAAATGCTCCAATTTGTTGTTGCACTTGAGCTGAGAGTCTTATGAGATAGTCTCTCTACCTCCCTTGGGTAGGGGTGTAGGCGTAGGGTCTGTATAAACTCTACTATGTTCTTGTTGTATAGTATAACATGAGAGGCGTTGATTCGAATCGTATCATATAGTAAATACGAAAAGAGGTGTCAACACTCTTACCTCTTTACAAATGTAGATGTACTAACGTCAACAATTACCTTACATGCCAATCAAGTTGAAACTGATTATATGAATTCTTGTTGTTTTATTTAAGTTTAATTTATATTATCGTCACGCTAAATAAAGGTCGGATGAATCATGGCCTTGAATAAATAAGAGAAATATGGGGTTAATTATTGTATTCTTTTGATTTATTATTCTAAAGTAATTTTGTTAGGTTGATTCAATTGGGATCTGAAATCAAATTTTCTAATTTAGTTGTCACATGGTGTGTCGTCTATAGATCTGAAGAAAATAACTTTCGAAATTAGAATCTTGAGACCTGTCAGAAATATTGAAAATTTCATACTAATTGTCTCCTTAACAATTATTAGCGACTGTCCACTTGTTTTTGACTATGCTACAGTTCCCACCACTATGTCTTTCTTCTTTACCATTCAAATAAATGCATAATAAGATTGCGTACGAAAAATTCATATGATATCAGTTTTTTACCTCTTTTATCTCCATGAGATAGTTGTAAGGTATGCGTACACTCTACTTTCTTCAGGCCTTATTTAGTGAAATTTCACTGGGTATTGTTGTTGGTATACGTTTTTATGGATTCCGCACAAAGTGGGAATTAATGTACTCTACCTTAATAAGATAAAGGTAAGAGTATGCATACACCATTATCTGCTGACCTCACTTGTAAGATTACATTAAGTATATTGTTTTGTTTGCCGTTTGCTATGTATGTTAATACAACTAAGCTCCCTTTTTTTTTCATTCGATGAGCGATATTTATTTTTGATCTTGATTAATTCGATTTGTGATCTAAGCTCTTTCTTTTATCGTTTCTAATAGGAATGTGATTTTTCCTAAGCCCCTCGTTAGTGGCACTGTTGGTGTCATATGATTCTTCTGCGAGGATTTAATTTCTCAAATGGTTACTAAATTAATAGTTATAATTCTAGAAAGTCATTTATTTTGTTGAATAAAAATTGAAACTAAGGAGAAAGTCACACTTTAAATAATAATTTTTAGTTGCATAGTCTGGGAAATCAATCCTCAAATGAAAAAAAAAAGGGTCTTTAAGTATAACAACATATTTAGTGTAATTCGATAAATAAGATTTGAAAATAATAGAATATGTATGAATCTTATTCCTACTATTATGAAGTAAAGAAGTTTTCGATAGACCTACGAGGCTACAGGCATCATTTTAAGTAACTTACAGAAATAAAATTCTTCACCCAAGTGTAAGACAATATTTCCTAGAGTGGAGACTCTATGTTAGGCAAGTATTCAATTTTTTTAATTTTATTTTTTAAAATAATAACCTATCAATGTTTAAATTGTTTCATTTGACTTTATCACATAGAGTGGGACAAATATACAAGCATTTGAAATGTAAAGAAAAGAAAATTTTACAAATTGTATCTTTCAATGACTTTAAATAAAGTAATTAAGTGCGTCTGATGTCATTTGTGTTTATTTTTTTCAAATTAGTTGAAAGTGTTGAAAAGGACTAGTTGTTATTTCTTTGTTTTTGCTTCATTACACTCGTGATTAAAATCTTGAGCCCTTTCGATCTTTGTTACGTTCACGAACAGAATATTAGCTTGATCCCCCACTTTCACCCTGTTTTTGTTCGATCAATTGGTCTTATAGTTAGGCAAACTTATATCATTACGTTCACGAGCAGAGTCTTAGTTTTAGCCCCCACCCCGTCTCTATTTGATCAGTAAACTATTGGTACATAAAGGGAAAAAGATCTGAAAAATACTTCAATATTGGCCGAAATTATTGTTACGATACCAAACTTTATGAAGTACCTTTTATCCCTACACTATTTAATAATGCATTTTAAATGTATATATGTGCCCACGTGGACACGTTACTATTTATAATCATGCAATATTTATGATGTCCACATAAACACATATATACCTTTAAAATACACGAGCCTTACCCCACCCCCACCCTACCTCCACACACACTAAAACGCGTAACTCAATAATAAAATGTTATAAGACCAAAAAGTTCCACACATCTACTCATTTCCCTCTTTACCAAACCAAAAAAAAAAAAACAGAGCAGCAAACAAACTCCTCTTCAAATTCACTCACATTTCCGTCAACATGAACATGATCGATGATCAACGCCGCGGTCCGCCACACGCGGTCTTATTAGCGGTGGTGGTGATAGCAGTGATGATCGTTCCGTCATTAATCGGTGAAAATGGCGAAGCGATTACTGAATTCATCTCTGAACTTCTTACCCCAATTGGATTACTACTTTTGCCTATAATTTTACTTCTCACAATTCAATTTCTCTCATCTGATAGCGGCTCTTTCGTTTCGAATATTTTTTCGAGCGGTGAGCCAAATTCAATTCATCGTGCTAGTGGTTCCCCTGTTGGTGTTGCCCTTGTTCTTCTCCTTGTTCTGTTTCTTCTGTATAATCCATTTTCGTTCTTTGGTAGTGGTGATGATGACGATTGAAGAAACGAAGAAACAAAATGATTCAAAGACGAATTTAGAATTTAAACTCGATGGATTCAAAGGTTCTAACATGAGGAATTTGATATATACGATTTGAGGTCTATTATTTTATTTTACGTTTTTTTTAATACCTATACATGTTTCGAGCAATTTGAACTAATAAGTTATGTACTTTATTTGTTCATAGGTTTAATACTTAAGATTTTTAGTACAAAACGTACTTGTATATTTTGAAATTATAAGTTCAAATTTTAGTTATTTTTCGCGTATAGTATTGCATTCAGTTGAATATGTTATATTTATCTTTGATTATAATAATTGTTACTACATCTCTGTTCTAAACCAGTTGTGATAGTTTGTATGGATATTTCATGGTAGTTGAATCTTAGAATGTCCTGTTCATAGATCTACAAGATCTTTCTCGCTCCTATGCACTTCACGATTTTCATATGTTATGAAATTTCAAAGAGTGAGTAAAGTTGTCAACTTCAATTATAATCAGCAAACGGAATTTTTTTTCTCCTTTCTCTAATAAAATAAGGTAGTCATGATTATGACCTTTATGAGTTCGAGATTCTTATTATTAAAAGATATATTGGATTCTAAATTAGTAATTTATATATATATATACTGAATTTTTAAATACAAATAAATATTTTTGAATCAAAATTACTGAAATCGTTTAAACCTCCATATAACTTGCTTAATTTCCTAGTGTTATAATAGTGTAAAACTTTTTCATTATTTGTTTCTCATTTTGTGATTTCTAGGAAGTTGGAGATGAGCTTTCTTGCCTTCTTCTCATTGCCTTTTTGTAAGAGGAATATGAGTACACTATATGGGACCTTTTAATTTGGTATTATAATATCAACTAGTGCATTTTGAGAGAGATGTTTGTGTGTGTGTGCATTTGTGGTGGGGGGTGGGTGGGTGTCATTTTTCTCTTTTCTCCTCTAATAATTTCTAAGAAGTTGGTGATATGACATTTTGATTTGACATCTATACAATATAGTAGTACAAATTTTCTAAAATTATGTAACTATACAAATTTTGTCCAAGTAGTATAAAAGTTCAAATTTTAAAAATGGAGTTGCAACCTCTAGGTTGTTGAAACCTCAATATCACATGACGTTGTATAGTTGAAATTGAAAGATTAAATAGTATTAAATTTATACGTTTGAAAAGTGTCACACATTATAAACTATAAAAAGCATAAGATTATGAAATTATACTTATTTTTGAGACATTAACAAGATGAACCATCCACAGATAGCTATGTTGGGATGAATATGATTTCTCCCCTCCTAAGCAGAGGTCTCGAGTTTGAGTTTTAGATAAGGAAACGATCTTGATAGGAAATGATTTCTCCTTTAATGGGTCTTATTCGATTGCTAATCTGAATTAGTCAATACAAATACCAGACATCGAGCAAAAATAAAAGAAAATGAACCACTTACGCGTTTGTTTGAATTATATGCATACAAAAGAACTTTCCAACCCTTGACTATATATAGGAATTGTTTCCCTTACTAAACCCCTTTTCTTTTCTCTTAAGAAAAACTCTATTTTTCTTTCTTAGAGAAGACATGTCACATTCAAGAATGACTCATCTATTACAAATATGGGAAATTTCTACTCTAATTGAATGTGGGACAATGAGATCCCACCACCCATGTAATATGCCTTGATTTATTTAATTGCTAAGTAATAGGAGCGACTATTAGGGCACAACATGTTTCACATTATGAATCGAAAAGGTTACACTTAAAAGGTAGACAGTCTATTAGTCGCTCATTCCATGACTCGAATTCATTGATGTATAGATCAAGTTATATATGCTAACAAGATACATAATCTTTTCACTATTACTACAATTTAATTGGTAATAGAAGGTCATTACTCTATTTTTCAGGTAATCAACCTTAACTTGATAGTATGTAAAAAAATTACACTATCAAACGCAAATGATATAACTCTCACAAAAAATAAAAATCTACCACACTCCATGAATATTTTTTCATAATCTTCACAAGTAGGATAGAAACACTGAAGACATAATTAACAGAAACAAAGAGAGGTAAACGACATACACAGCATAACCCACGAGTGGGGTCTAGGAAGGATAAAGTAAACAAAATCATGCATTTGAGGAAAATTCTCCACCTTCTGAAGTGTTTTCACTTGATAGAAATTGGTAAAAAACTTTCAATTTAAGTACATACAATCTGAAAATTTACATCCATTAGAACAACATCATAGTGAGGTTCAGCCTCAGAAAGAAGATGATCATGCAGAGACCATCGAACCAAGGAAACTTCTAAATTACAGAATACGAAATACGAAATTCGAAATAGTAGCTACTAAAGATGCTTCCGTAAACGAGATACAGAGATGCAGCAGAAAATTTCTGATTTGTTCTTAATTAGCCAGGGCCAACTTTGGGAATGTCATAGTGCTCACTCATGTTCGCCAAGTACTGATTGAAATCTTCAATTCGATCGCGATGTGATTTATTAGCAGTCTTGGCCATCTTATGCATGTCGATCCTCTCTCTTTGTTCTATGTAGCGCCTCTCTGCAGGGGTTAGATTATCATCCCAGCGACCGGCATTTTCTTCACCAACAGATTTAGTTGCATCTGTGGTCTCTTCCTTGGTGGAATTATCTATGGATCCACTACCACCATCTACATCCAACCAAAAACATTTTAGTGAAGCGGGTAAACAAGAAAAACCATATATCATCTCTCATAAGCACATAAGATTGAAATGTTTTTGCTCTTTTATCTTAGGATGGAAGTGGAATACGCCTCGGTTACTCATCCAATACTGTTTGGAAACTATGAGAACGACATATAGCCATTAAATGAAATTCAAGCTGATAAAATGTGTCAAAAGCTGCAGTTACTCAATGCCCGAAGAAAGCTCAATCTGGTGAACAGTTGTTAAATCATAACTTTTAGCCCTACTGATCATATCGCTAAAAACTAACATGCATGAGCATAGTTCCATTAGATGAATGAAAATTGGGATTTTAAGACCATCAGTTTGAATCGCAACAATAAACTGTTCAATCCATTATGGACTAGCTATCATCGATTCATCTATCGTTTTCATTGTACTACAACTTGAATGCAGAGGGAGGGTGGAACTTGGAAGGAATCAATAAATAGGAACAGTAATAATAAAAGCATAAATTTTATGCAATTCAAGATATCACTACTCACCAGTTGAAAGCTCGTTTTCTGTAACCTGGGAGATTTGATCATAATCCCTCTTTTCCTTCTTTTTCTTTTTCTTAATTCCAGCGGCTTTTACATCCAATGCCTTTCCCTTTAGTTTCAACTTCCCACCAACCACATTATCATATGCAGACATTTTCTGTCAGGAAGTCAAAAACATTAAGCTTTGGCCAGAATAACAATAACTATGAGAAAGCACACTACTGGGAATTGATAAGCTTAATGCGCAGGCAATATGTCATATTTTCAAACTGAGAATCTGTTCGTGATACAGCAGTAAGTCACAAACAATACACACTAAGCGCCCATCGTTTTATTTATGACTGAATAGTTCCCGAGGCTCAGTAACACATGATTCGAAACTCCGTGAGTAATGTGCCTACCCCTCTATCCTTCTCCACGTAAAATACCATGGTTTTTTCAGTGGCAAGGTTTGAACCCCTGACATACACCAAACCCACACATTACATGTTGTGCTCTTACCACTAGTCCAAATCCCTAGGTGGGGTTACATAGATGCCAGTATACATATTCCCCAAGTCTTAACTAAAAATTTTCTACATAAGACATAGAAAATATTTGCAGTTACAATAACATCTACTGCTCCTATGCAATAGCTCACAAACCACACAAGAGAGGTAACCCGCACCAGGTAAGCCTAGTGCGACGAGCTTGACTCAGAAGGCAAACTCTGCATTCGAACTTGAGACCTTCAACCCAAACCACTGGGCCACCCCGAAGAAGCTCCTTTTTTTGTTTTTTTGATAGATCATCCATTGGATTTGGTGCAAGGATAATTGGTAAGTGTTTGATTCAGAAAACCTCAAACTTCATAGAATCGAAAACTTTTGCCTCAATAGATATATCATATAGTATGAGAATGAAAGAAACACAAATAAAATGGGATAAATACATTAAGTTCATGATAAATATTAACCAAAAATGCTACAAGTAAAACAGAATATGATTAATCCATAGTAATTCATTAGAGCTTTTCTTACAACGAATCCTTGCTGCAATTACTTGCTAATTTAGAAGCCAAAAACAAAATTACTCACAAACAGATAAACTATAACTATGGATTTCAAGAGCTTAAAATTCAGATAATATCCATCACATACGGATCAAAAAACCTTAAATTCCTATATCAGTAATCACACTTCACCAGATATTTCACCCATGGGCGGCTCAACCCTAAAGCCACTACCAAAAACCCCCAAATTCAGTTACAAAGATGCACAAAAAAGAAACAAATTCCAATAAGAGGCAAGATTAAACGAACAACGATGAAGGAGATACATACCTAAAAGAGACCACCAGATCTGATGAAAAAAAAATACGATAAGTAGAATATAAAAAGAATATGTATTTATTGTTACTACTCTCTCTGTTCCTTTTTAGTTGTAGGATAATACAACTAAATAAATAAATAATAGTTTGTTGCTAATCTCGTATTAATTATTAGGCACATATTTTTGAAATTTTATTATTGATGTAGTTATAATTAAAAATTGTATTCAATTAAATTTACACTTACTTTTTATTTCTTAATTTCTCTAATTCACTTCAATTTGAATTAACCATGTTTTAATGTTGGCTTGGTAAAATTGTCTTCAATTTTTTGAGATATTTTATTAATTAGATTATCAAATATTTAAATTTTAGAAAATATTATCTTAAGTTTGAATGTCTTATAAAGATAGCAATCACTATAATATTGTTCTATGACTTAGATTATTGGATATGTTGTTATTGTTATATAACTTAAATATATTTAATGTTTATGATTCTTTTATGATGATTAACGTTTGTCTTGACTATTTATTCATGAGAACGTTTTACTTGTTATCATAGCATTGATTCTTTATATCTAGAGTGGAGGGTTAAAAATACATCTAAAGTATTTTTTAAATTTTTCATAAAACATTTAATTTATGTTGCATTTTAGATGTTTTACATATTCATTAAGATTTTCTTGCAATTTAGATTAATCGGGACTTCAATATAAGTATCAGACGCTAGGTTGGAAAAACCACCAATCAAGAAAAGACTTGGATCACCATCTTTGAGTGTTAACTATGTTAAAAGTAAAACTTTGTGAGCCTAAATGGAAATTTAAACAATTCTTAATTGTCTTTTGTCTATGAATAGTTAAAATTCTTATGAGATTTATTTATTTTTTGACACAAAAAATTGACTTTTCAGATAATTTAAGTGATTCATAATAGTTCAGTTATTTGAATATGACAAGAAATAGCTTTACGAGTTTACTATTGTAACATATTGTAAAGTTCAATTGCTTTAATGAGAGAACATATATCTTCTTACTATGCCATTACAATAATATGTAAAATTTGTTGATTATACGTGAAATTAATCAAGTACGAAATTAGAATTCAACCACAATCTTTTCGAACTTTTCATTATATCCAAAAAAAAAATTTAATGCACCTTTGCATTCTATTTAATTTCTTTTGGAAGAAGTTCAATATAAGTAATTAAAACTCTAATTAAACAACCTCCTACTCTTCTTATTATTCATTTTCATTTTCTCCATTTAACCATTTTCATGGAGAAAAAACAAATAAATTCTATATATAATTATTATATGGTTAATAAGTTGGCGGAATCTTGCTTGTCGTCGCCGAAAATCCGTTGCCGGAAGTCATCAACCATCATCGGAAGTCCTTGCCGGAGAGAAACTGCTGGCTCCCATCCTAGAAGCTGTTTTGCTTTTGTAATATCTGGCTTTCTCTTGTGTGGATCATCTTCTGTGTTGGGCCTAAATTCTATTTTTGCATTTGGATCTATTGTTTCTTGCACCACCTACAAAAATCATCGAGGAGTATAATGAGATGAATACGATTCATTCAGCATTAATCACACGTCTCAAGTTTTAAGAAATGATAGAAACTAGAATTAGTCTAAACAGACTGTCATGTTAAAAAAGAATGTTAAGTCCTATATGAGAAATGTTATTTTTTTCATGCCTATTCCTCGAACTTTTTGTTTTACATTCAGTCGGTGTTTGGAGTTTGAAACAATTCTAATAAGGTCGAGAATAAAAAGTGTAACACTATAGTAAAAAGTTTCCTTTATATAAAGTGTATTCAACAAGTTATATATATACATATTTTACCTATATATGTTGTATTGCGATTTAATTGACCCTCATTTAATTTCATCATACATTGCTCCACTACGACCTATAATTGGTTTGTCTAGTTTGAATTTGCGGTGTATAAAGCTCATTATGAAAAACCTAGTGCTCTTTATCAAAGATAATTTTTATTTTCAAAATTCACACTTTCCTCGTATTAATAATTGAGGAACATTTACTGCTTAACCACACACCCTTTGGTGGCCAATTCCACACTCTTTCATTTGCTTAGAAGGATTCAGTAACCCCCTTAGTACCCTCTTTATGTTTACTCTTTTATCCTCGATACCTTATGTATAGAGTCACTTTTAGTAGGAAAAGTTTTAACTCCTAAGTAGGACTTTTCGACATAAATTTAAATTGATCGAGTTACATTACGTATTATCGTATATCGAATGAAAAAAAGACACACATACCTTAGCTAGTTCAAGCATGGTGAATTCACCAGGATTCCCAAGATTGAAAGGACCTACATGATTTCCTTCCATCAACCTCATCAAACCTTCAACCTATTAATTAATTTCAACAATCACACACAAAATAAAGGTTTTATTTATTTATTTATTTACGATAACAATTGTTTTTGATAGACCTTCTATAAATAAATAAATATTCCATTTTTGAATAAGTGAAGTAAAAATAAAAAATTTACCAAATCAGAGACAAATTGAAAGCTCCTGGTTTGTTTTCCATCTCCATAAACTGTCATTGGCTCCTTTCTTAAAGCCTACAATTTTTTTTAATATTCAATGAAATTAAAGTATAGTAAATATTTTATCAATTAAATGCAAAGAATACATTAATATTAAATCAATTATGATTAATTTGATTGATTTAACACAAACCTGTGCAACAAAATTGCTAACAACACGACCATCATCTATGCACATACGTGGTCCATATGTGTTGAAAATCCTAGCAATTCTAACCTGTCAAAAAACAAGTTTTCGTTAGCAAATCGTCTCGTATTTACCTTTGTCAATAACGAAATTCTAACGTGAAATAAGTCAACTCAATGTGTTCAAATAATTCTTCAAGAGATCAATATTTTTTTATTTTTCAATTTTAGTTTTTTTTTTTTACTATGGTTTAAAATTAGATTTCAAGCAGAAAATGTACCTCAATGTTGAGTCCTCTATGGTAATCCATGGTCAAAGTTTCAGCTGTACGTTTTCCTTCATCATAACAACTGCGGACACCTGTTCACAAGTTCCCCAAAAAAAAGTCGAGTTTAAGTCCGATGCACTGATGATATAAAAACTATATGTACATAATCATGTCACGTATTAGTAGTGATGGATCGAGGGAGAAATTTCATCAAGGGGATTAAGGAACAATGTTCTCTTATGTATAGGGGGATTCAACTAATAATTGACATGCACACAAATAAAATTCACATATATATACATAGTCGGAGGCGGAATAATGATTTGTAACTTATGGGTTCAAGATTCTAGTAATCTTTTAAGTTATTAAGCTCTAAATTATTATTTTGGATATGTTCAACGAAATTCTGAAGATAAATACATAATTTGGATCAAAGCTATTTTACATAGTATAAATTTTCAGTAAACCCCTTTTGTCATATGTGGTTCCGCCATTACTTATTAGATAAATATATAAATTTTCATAATTGTATCACTCTGTCGAAGAGTGAAAGGGTCACCACTAGTGAGAATTCCCAAATCTTAGATAGATCATCTAAGGATTCATTTATAATACAAATAACAAGGAATTTATTATCACATATTATATAATATGATATCGATAACATAAAATTATTTAGACAGACGATCTACACTCGCGATCAAAGTTAAAGAGTAAAATGATTTGACTTACCAATGGGATTAACATTGCCCCAATAAGTCTCAGCTTGAGGATGTTGCAATGGATCACCATAAACTTCACTTGTGCTAGTAATAAGAAATCTAGCTCCAACTCTTTTTGCTAATCCCAACATATTCATTGTTCCCATCACATTTGTTTTGTGATATCTTTCCATTTTAAAGTCAAGGAAAAAATATCAAGAAAACAAATATGAGCATATGAAAAACGCGATACGTATCGTTACTATTTTCGATTTGAACTATACATTATGATAAAAAAAAACATATTTATGTAGTTCACACCTATTGTCAAAAGAATAGTGGTGCAATGGTATTATGTACTTAATTTAAAGAATATGAAATTAAGGATATGATAGTCTTGACTGGATTAAACTTGTAATGAACAGGAGAAGCAGGGCAAGCTAGATGATAAATTTGATCAACTTCTAACAAAATCGGCTCAACGACGTCGTGTCGAATAAGTTCAAATCTTGGATTCTTGAAATGGTGCAACAAATTCTCTTTTTTACCTGTAAAAAAATTATCAATAACAATAACACTATCTCCTCTTGCTATTAATCTATCCACCAAATGGCTCCCAACAAATCCTGCTCCTCCTGTTACTAATATTCTCTTACTCTTTCCCTTCAATCCCAATGGAACCTTTCCACCTACAACAACAACAAAAATCGGTCAGTCCTTTTTGTAATGTCTTTTGTTAGAATATGTTTTTATTGTTAACGTAGCATAAAAATTTGGTTACAATGAAAATTTTGGCCGTTATAGAAGATGATTGTATGTATCAAAACACATTGTTATATTCAAGTCTTGTTAGAATGTACATACAATTTTTTGAGGTAATTCAATCAAGATGTTCCAAAATATGAAATTTTAATTTATCGAAAATATTGATTTACAACAAATACCGTATTGCGTCATGTATATTCGTCAATTAACTACGTTTTAATTCTGAAATAATAAAGTTAAGATCGGTAATTTACATTTTTATATGTGTTTCATATTATTTGAGTTGGTTTTAGTCCAATACTTGAGAACTTGTCTTTTTTTAAACTAGAGATTCTCTTGAATCTCATATATTTGTACCTACTAGTAGAGTCAGAATACATGTTCAAATGAACTCATAATTTTTCAAATGGGATAGAAAATGCTAAAAAATTATTAGGATAGATGCAATGCCAATTGCTAATTGTAGAGAAGGTACTTGATGACATTAAAGAAGGTGAATCTACGTCAACATGACACAATTGTAAAGATACCTGCATTAGCGTGGTCGGTTTCATCAACCAACTCATACGCAATTCTTCGAGGGATCGGATTACTCGATATAAATGTATCTTGAATATTAATCGTTTCGAAATCGGATTTTAATATTGTAGAAGAAATAGAAACTACAGAGCAAAT